AACAAAGAACTCACACAGACGGACCCCGACTGTTGTGTCGCCTCACGTCTCCTGCGTCTTGGCCATGTGTCGCACTGGAACACACCGCAAAGACTTCAGCCGCCGGCCAAGAAGCACGTACGCACTGCATGCGTGAGTGGCAATAACTCTCCTTACCAGCAGGCGGCGGTAGTGTGTATTCGTGATTCAAAAGAGACAACAACCGGAAGACAGACTGCGTGATATAAACAAACAACAAATAGTGTGTTCCATTTTCACTCTACAGCGAGAAGCTCACGGGGCTTTCCCCAACCTGTGTCGAGAGCTGGAGTTAAAGGAAATCTCACATTTGCCTTCTTAATAGTTGGTTTGGGTCCCTCACTTCCGTTTCGCTTCTCATGCACTGATTCGCTAAGCTGAACAGCCAATCAGAGTGATTTCTTTTGCCGACTGACTTTGGTCGACCGGTTTTCGGCCGAAAAGGCACCAATCTGAGTAGGGCGTGTCGACGCTCATCGTCAGCCTGACGCCCACCGACGCCGATAATCGGCCTGGTGTGTCTGTGCCTTAAGAGTTAAAGCCCAGGAACTAATCCTGTGAAGACTTACTGAAAGCACTAGAAGATTAGAGCTGGGTGTGAGGCTTTAAATGTAGCTCCTGCTAAAAGTTAAAACCATATTTTGGGGAATAGTTCCTCTCAGGTGCAGAAATGGTCCAGCCTGAAGGGGAACCATTGTAACATTTAAATTCATTTTTTTTATCACATCCCCGACGGTGTGAGGAGTAATGAGTTTTATTGTCTCCGTATGTTTCTGTTTTACTGCCTAAAAAATGGACAAAAGACTCAATAAAGCTGGGTTTTTTGTGCTAATGTCGACTTTACCAGGGTTGACTTTTGAAATGGCTTTGTTTGTCATTTGAAGGATTATTATAATGGTTCAATGGTGGCTCGTTATGACACACTTGCAAAGCCCTAAAATATGAACTTCTCATAGCATCAGTTTGATTTTGCATCTTCACAAACATCCGCTGACAGCAAAGCCCGAGTGACAAATCAATTTTCGTTGGCTGCCTAAAGATTAAGCACTTATTACAGGAGCTGACAGCTGAGGAGAAAGTTGTTTACGGCTGAGAGGAATTCACCTCAAGCGTGCCTTCGCGTATAACTGGAGAGGAGATGACAGGAACACTCCCAGCAAACACCACGAGGACGCAGGGGGAACATATCTTTCTGTCCTCATTCATTTACAAAGGCAGGATTATTTTAAAACAGTGTATTCCCATGAAGTACTTCTGTTAAACTGCAGATTGTAGATGTTCACATATGGCTCTGAGTGCGGCAGTGTCTTACACACAGAGCCTTTCATACACTAGGATGGATATCCTAAAAAACACAGACACAAAAACAGATATTCAATGTTTTCCATCTGCCTTTCTGTTTAAAAAGCCCGGTTTAAAGGAACCTTGTGTAGGTTTTATCTAGTGTCCGTAATATTATGGGGAAAAAAGCAAAATTTCTACAAACTCAAGGTATTTGCACTATAATACACAATCAACGGTGCACATTTTTTTGTTTTTGTCTATGTAAATGCTGCTCCATTCAACCAGTCCAAATTTGCACTCACAGTTACACATTATTTTATTTTCTACTCTAGTTTAACCTCTACTGGGACTGGACAAATGATTCCCTGTTTGGTACCAGCTGACACTAATCAAACTCTCTTTTTGATAACAATCCATTAATTAAACATCCCCTCCAGATATGAGTATACATAGAGAATTACAATCTTTGACATTACCTAAAAAAAAAAGTATAAATATCCAAATATTTTTCAATATTATATTTCAAAACAATATAATAATCAGACATTCTTTAAAGGTCCCCTATTATTCTGTTTTTCATCAATATATCACAGGTCTCAGATATATACAGAACCTGTCTCTGATTGGCTGAAACACCAAACAGATCATTGCAGCATTACCCATAATCCCCTCTGTTTCAGCCCTGTTTCCAAAGTGCTGATTCTCTGTCTGTTACTTCAGATGAAAATAAGGAGCCCCTCCCCACGCCCCTCTGAGAGACATTTGGTTAAAAAGAACTCAATGGTGCTCTAGGAGGAGATTCAGGTGATAAGGGGGGGGGGTTACCTTGGTTGCTGATTGGCTAATGGTTACACAAGCCAAAACATCGTTATGACATCATAAAGTGGCCAAAATCTGATCAGTTCATTTTCAGACAGGTTTTTAAATAAATGGATCAAAAAGAGAGAGAATCTTTGTTCCTGAAACTTTCAGAATCTCGTTACACAGAGGGGACACATGTTGATGTAGAGGAGACATGAAGAAGAGGGGACACATGTTGATGTAGAAGAGACATGAAGAAGAGGGGACACATGTTGATGTAGAGGAGACATGAAGAAGAGGGGACACATGTTGATGTAGAAGAGACATGAAGAAGAGGGGACACATGGTTGATTTGTAGATAGAGGACTATGGAGATATGAGGATCACATGTGATTGTAGAAGAGACATTGTATAGAATGATGGGTACACCATGTGATGTATGTAGTGATCATGATGTAAGATGGTGATCATCATGGTGATGGAAGAAGATGACATGAGGTTAATGATGGGGTATCACATGTTG